TGCATGAAATCAGCCATCTTTGCAACCCTAAATCGCTGCTATTGCATCTTGATGAAGACGTAACCCCAGAATTGGGGGGTGGGGAATTTATAGAGAGAGAAAATGGGTTCGCGGGTTTCTAGAGAGAGAAAGTGGAATGCGGATTTCGATGGAGGAAGAAAGAGAAGCAGCGATTTACGAAAAATAAATAAATAAATAAATAAATAATTTAATTAATTTTTGATGAGTGGGAGATTTTGAAGGGAACAAATAAATAAGTAATAGGATATCTTTGCGAGATGTCAACGTCATAAATCTGGAGAAGGCGGGGAAAATAGACACGTGGATTTGTCTCTTGCTCCAGGCTTCTTTTCGCTTGGATGTGGCACTGAGAAATGTTTCTGGGATCCGCCGATTGGGGGGCCCCACGCTTCATGTCGGGTGATCATGTGGGTGAACTTTAATTGATGGCGGTAAAAAGATTATATTAAGACTAATTCAACTACATAGTTATGCAAATAATTAAGAAATTTTCATTGTGGTCTTGCTTTAGGTTAAGAAGAGCATTAATTCAGAAAAATTAAGAGAGTTTAGCACATCATCAACCTTTCAGAAAAGAATCGCACGTGTCTTAGAAACGCAATTTGAATTTTAGTAATATGTATTTTCCATATAAATCAGGTTCCACAAATAATGTTCTCATTGTTATGCAAGATATCTGAAGTACAAATAACACATGTATATTGATAAATGTAGCACTCCTTCCATTTTTCATCTCGTTTAGGATCAGAGGGAATATTGAAATATTGAATATGAAAAGTTATATGTTTTCACTTATACACCCAAAAGTTTTTTCATGGACTTGTAATAGTAGCTTTTAATGGAGTTTTTTTAAAAAGATATTTTTGCTAAATAATTAGTAAAACCGACAGTTTTGCTAATTATTTAGCAAAAACGACATCATTTTGACCAACAGGCCAAAAAGAGGTTGGTTTTAAAAAACTGCATATTCGAAACATACGAGACGTCATTAATTGGCGACTAATAATCACACCACAAAATCTACGGGACTAGTAGTCCCGTAGGTTTTGTTCCTACTTCACAAAATGTACGGGACTAGTAGTCTCATACGTTAAGCAGAAAGCCAAGCTGACGCCCCATCAAATCTACGGGAGTATTAGTCCCGTAGATACTAGTCCCGTATATTTCCTAGGCAGCCTGAAAACATGCACAAAACATGTACTTGCCTCTATTGCTTCATATACAGTATTTTTAACCAAAATTTACGTAAAAATATAGCATCCACTTTGTATACATTGATATACAGTATAATATTTATAAAAGTGATAAATTTTATTAAATAAACACTGGATAATAACACATTTAATCAATTCACAACACAATAGATATGTCATCATCGGATCAATACAATAAAATACTCTAAACAAATCCAAATGTATCAAGTCTATCCATACGATAATATATAGTCTATGCTAAACAAATCCAAATGTATCAAGTCTACCCATACGACAATATATAGTCTAAGTAGAAAAGCTAACAACCTAAAAGTCCGCCCCTCCCCCGTTATCCTCATGCACCATCTGCTCCTGACTTTCATGCCGATTCTCATGAGTTTGATGAAGAGCTCTACGAACCCTCGCCACTATCTTGTGCAATAGCGACACATGTACTGAATCTCCTGTGACGATAGCTATGCCCTCATTTGCAATCCCCTCTATCTCGTCCATAGCGTCTATCTTGTAAGGCCTCGAAAAAGACAATTCGACTGGTTCTCTTAACTATTTTAGTTGTAAGAAGAGATTCTATCACTTGGTAAGAATCTTTTTACAATCGTTCTTTTTTAATTATAGAAGAGAAGAAGGTTGATTTGACTTCTCCTTTATTTAACGTGAGTTCTGTGTGGCGATGAGATGTCTCGCTCGATACTCGTGTCGAGCTTACTTTTCGTTAACGATCGGAGCAAGATTGCTTCGATTCCAGGAGAAAATAGCCTCTTTTGAGTGCTTGAGCCGCCGCTGGTGGCTGATGTTAGCTCTTGACGTGTGTGGGTCTAAGTGCTCTTTGAGTGCTCTCTGAGTTTACGTGCTAGATCGCCCAAAGTTTTAAGCTCTTTTTTTAAGCTACCTTCTTCATAGCTTCTTATGGCTATTTATAGGCCTTTAGCACGTAACTGATGCGCTGACCATGATATCAGGAGCGTAGCTGACTCCTTAAATTTAGCCCACGTGGGCTGAATGGGTCTTTATGGATGTTAGCCATCTCCTGGCGTCGAGCTTTATTTGGTAAGACGAGCCTCACTGGATGGCGATGTTCATCTAATGAGACGAGCCTCCCGGTGTGGTGAGGTTTGTCTGATGAGACGAGCCTCATTGCATGGCGAGTTTTGTCTGATGAGACGAGTCTTCCTGCATGACGAGCCTCGTTTGATGAGATGAGTCTTGCTGCTTGTCGAGCATCGTCCTTGAATGAATTTCATCTTCTGAAGGAGCTTCGTCTTCAATGACGAGTTTTGTTTCTGAAGGATATCCGTCTTTAATGACGAGCTTCGTTTCTGAAGAAGCTTCGTCTTCAATGACAAGCTTCGTTTTCTAAAGGAGATTCGTCTTCAATGACGAGCTGCATTTCTAAGTGAACTTCATCTCAAATAACGAAGTTTGTCTTCTGAGAGGTGAGGCGCTGCTTGGTGAGGATCTTCTTTGATGACCTTCGTCTGACGAACTTCGTCATTTGAATGGGCTTCAGTGACTAGTTTCGAACCTTGTCTACAATGACGAGCTTCGTCACTCTCTTGTTTATTGGCATTTTTTAGTTCCTACATATCTACAGTTACATAAAAAAGATATAACGATAATGATATAAAAAAGCTAACAAGAGATTAAAAAAACCATTCTAATTTGCACAATTTACTTACACATGCTCTCTCATCTACACATCTTGGTACATATCTTGCTTGTTGAGAGTGTATCTCGATTTTGTCAACTAAAGGCATGGTTTGAGTGATTATCCACCGTCTGGTATTCCCCTAATACCATCTAATGTAATCGAGTTCCTCCATCGGAGGATAAAGCTGCTCGACAATAAGTTGATATCGATCATTCCATCCTAGCAATGTATGAATGACGCACAATCCGCCAGTCAATCTGATGTCCACCCTTAAACGCCTTTCTCTCTATTTTTTAACATATTGTGGAGCATGCTGTGTGAAACCAAACTGTCTAAGCAAGCGATCCGGCACATGCATCTCCACTACTTCGAAACAAATGAGAGAAACTCTGGCTCTCAATTCAATGGTAGACGAGGTAGGTAGGGTGCGTATGGATGCCCCTCGAACTACAAAATATTTCATATATTAATAACTCTTTGAAATATATCGATAACTTTAAATAACTTAAATTCAAATTTGATACCTGATAAATTTTTATCCGGTCGAGCTCTCCTCTGTAAAAATTTGTCTTATCGGGGCCTCATCGTATGCTTTAGTGACGTTCCATCTGCATGTATGATATAAGGTAGGTTCTAGTTCCAAATTTAAAATTTAAAATTAAATTTTCATTAACTACATTCAAAAAATTTTACCCGCAGCCTAGTGGAATATGTCCATCTAAATCTCGCGTCTCGCATAACCTTGGTTTCAAAACCAATCTCTCTCATGCCCAAACTTGTAACAATGTTAAACATCCTTTTAGCTCTTTATTTTGTATAAAAGCAACATTTGACATTTCTCTATATAGGTATGCTAAAACAGCACTACCACATGATAATATCCCACACCTGTCGAAGTCCTGGAGAAGCGGTAATCACCTATCACATGGCAAATGCGTTTAGTCATATTTTATAACAATAATAAGCAAAAATCTAGCAAAAACGGTCAAGATAGTGCTTTATAATAATAACAAGTTGTCTTACCTCAAATGTACTTTATATTTACTTGAATCGGGAAAAAGAAGAGTCCCGATCATGTGCAAAATATATGCATGAGTATGTTGTTGGATCATGACTTGGGATGTATCTTTTGGCAAGGGGTTTGCGAAAAAAATTTTAGCCACATCAATCTAATATATCGCCCAGGAAAGGACTCCGGAGGTAGTCCTAGCAAATCATCATAGATATGACACCACATATGCCTATCAGTCTCCGTAACATAAGGGTCATCAATGCGGAGACCAATAATCACTGCTATGTCCTGGAGAGTAATAGTCGTCTCACCGACACGTAGATGGAAAGTGTTAGTCTCTGGCCTTCATCTATCCATCAATGCATTAAGTAGTGCCCAATCAAGCTTCATCCACCGTAATTTTGAGCATGTGAGAAAACCTGCTTAGGCTACTAGAGCAATGATAAGCGGATCTTCAAGTGGCCAACGCGTATGTCCAAGGCTATGATCAATCATAACTAAGCTCCACTCCTCTTTACACGACAATGAAAAATATATATTAGAATTTAACAATGAGTAAGTAATATGTGACTATAAACTTATGATTTTAAATTTATCAATCATTACCAATGTAAATGATATGCTCTATGAATGGTGGCGTAACCGATCATAGAGGACGTCATCACTAACCGGCCCGGGAAGCATAGTGTATATACCTGCACA